GGAAGAGACCGTCTCATCCTTAGGATCACTGTTCCCTGTTCTTGAAAGGTAATGCAAGCTCACATCCAGAAAGCTGTATTTTCCTGTCCTGTAGAATCCCAGAAGTCCTACAGCCTTCCTTCATTTTGTCCTATCTCTGTCTCCTTTAGTTCTAGCTGGCAGTGTTTCTGCTGGTGTTACCCCATTTCTATTCCTTGCTTCTGCTGAGATGGCTGATTAGATCAATAAGTCATACCCACAATCTCTCTATGAAGTGACTATCCAGCCACCCTTGGTGTTCTGTCCAGAACACATTTTCTCAGGTTTTGCAATATTGGATAGGCTGAGAATTTTTCAAATCTTCACATTCTGGTTCCTTTCTTTTTTTTTTTTTTTTTTTTTTTAGGTAAGGAGATCTTAACCCTTGACTTGGTGTTGTCAGCACCATGCTCAGCCAGTGAGCGAACCGACCATCCCTATGTGGGATCTGAACCCGGGGTCTTGGTGTTATCAGCACCACACTCTTCCGAGTGAGCCACGGGCCGGCCCTCTGGTTCCTTTCTACCTAATAATTTTTCAATTTGTCTGTCTCCTCTCGCATTTTACTATAAGCAGCAAAGAGAAACCAGGCCACATCTTCAACACTTTGCTTAGGAATCTACTCAGCTCAATATATTCAAGTTCATCACTCACAAATTCTACCTTCCACAAAACACAATTCAATTCACATAACACAATTCAACCAAGTTCTTTGCCTTCCCTCCAGTTTCCAATAACATGTTCTTCATTTCCATCTGCAGCCTCAGCAGAAGCACCTTTAGCATTGATATTTCTACCAGTCTCTTCAAGGTAATTGTCTTAGTCTGTTCAGGCTGCTATAACAAAATACAATAAGCTGGGTGGCTTATAGAGAACAGAAATTTATTTTTCACAGTTCTGGAGGCTGTTTCAGCAGATTTGGTATCTGGTGAGGGCTCACTTTCTAACAGATGCCTGTGCATGTCTGTGTCCTAATCTCTTTACAGGGACACACTTAATCAACTCTTTAAAGGCCCTATGTCCAAATATAGTCACATTTTGCAGTACTGGAGGTTAGAGCTTCAACATGAATTTGGGGGGATACAATTCAGTCCATTACACCCCTCTATGCTCACTCACTTCCCAATACTTACAGACTTTCCATCACTCAACCCATACACTCTACTCCCCTGCAGACCCCCATCACATACCTTGATTACACCCCACAGATCCTTCCATCACTGCCACACAGGCCCCATCATTAACCCTACATATTCACATCACTCACTCCACAGACCATACATCATTCGCCTTGCAGACCCACATTACACATCCAAGAGACCCCCACCCATGCATCATTCACATCACTCATCTCACAGAGCCCTGTCACCTTACAGGCTAACACATCAATGCCCCTACAGATCCTTATCACTTACTCTGCAGACCCCCTATCACTCACCCCACAGAACCTCATCAGTCACCTACAGATCCCCTATCACTCACCCTACAGACCCCATTACTTGCTTCACCGGCCCCATCATTAACCACATAGAGTCCTGTTACCCCTCAATAGCCCATCATTCACCCTACAGACTCCCCATCACTTAACTCATAGACCTCCCTACAGACTCATCACTTACTGTCCCCTGATTGCATCTAACAGAGACCCCATCACTAACCCCACAGACCCTCATCATCCCCTGTATTAGTCACCTCAGACTTCCATAACAAAATGCCACAAACTGGGTGGTTTAAACAACAAAAATTGGGCCAGCCCGTGGCTCACTCAGGAGAGTGTGGTGCTGATAACACCAAGGCCACGGGTTCGGATCCCATATAGGGATGGCTGGTTAGCTCACTGGCTGAGCGTGGTGCTGACAACACCAAGTCGAGGGTTAAGATCCCCTTACCGGTCATCTTTAAAATAAATAAATAAATAAACAACAAAAATTTATTTTATCACAGTTCTGAAAGGAACCAAGATCGAGGTGTTGGCAGGTTTAGTTTCTCCTGAGGCTTCTCTCCTTGGCTTGTAGATAGCTGCCTTCTTGCTGTGTCCAAATGGCCTTTTCTCTGTGTGCTCATGCCCCTGGTGTCTTTTCCTCTTCTTCTAAGGACACCAGTCCTATTGGGTTAGGGCTCCACCCTTATGCCCTTATTTAACCTTAATTACCTCCTAAGGACCCTATCTCAAATATAGTCACATTGGAGGTTAGAGCTTCAACATAGCCTGGCTGGTTAGCTCAGTTGGTTAGAGTGTGGCCTTGTAACACCAAGGTCAAGGGTTCAGTTCCCCGTGCTGGCCAGCCACCAAAAAAAAAAAAAAAGAATTTGTGGGGGACACAACTCAGTTCATAACACTCCCCATCACTCACCCCACAGACCTCATCACTCAACCCATAGCCCCCTATCACTCACCCCCAAGTTCTATTTCACTCACTTTGAAAACCCCATAACTCACCCCATAGGATCCCCACCGCTACTCAACCTACTGCCCCCCATACTGACCTTTGAGACCCTCCAGTCACTCATCCTACAGATCCCTCATCACTAAGCCCGTAAACTCCCCATAACTCACCTTGCAGAACCCATCGCTCACATCACAGATCCCCCATCACTCAACCCACAACAGATTTCATCTCTCATCCAACAGACCCTTTACTGCTTACACTGACATTTCACCTCTCAACTCACAGTCCTCCACCATTCACCGTATATACTCCATCACTCACCCCACACAACATTGATCAGTAGCCCCACAAATCCCCTATCACTTACCTCACAGACCACCCATCAGGCACCCACAGACTCCCATCATTTCCCCATAGATTCCCCATTACTCACCATACAGACCCCCATCACCCATCCCACAGTCTCTATCACTAATCTTCTAGATCCTTAGTCATAAAACAATTGGGTACTTGAGGTATTTTGTTGTTTTTGGCAGCTGGCTGGTATGGTACTTGAAGAATTTTGAAGACATGGCAAAGAATGAATTAATACAACCACAGATACCCATAGACTGGCTTCAGGTGACCTGTGGAGAGCAGGACTTCAGTTCAAATCCTGACTCTGCTCAGGCCTACAGTATAGCTTTGGAGAAATGCCTCACCATTAAGGCCAAAGCCTTATGGGATCTCACCCCAATTACTCTCTCATCTCATATGGCATCACTTACCTCACTGTTTACTCTATTTAAAGGCATGCTGACCACCTTGCTCTTTCTTAAACACACCAGGCATAGCCCCACCTTCCATCCATTGCACTGAGTACTCTCTGTGCCACTTACTATCCCTTTGACCTTGAGTTTGTTTCTCCCTTCAGAGCTCTCATCTGTAAAATTCTAATTATAATAATACCTACCTCACAGGGGTTTTATGTGCATTAAATGAATTAATATATGTAGACTATCTAGCATACACTCCATATTTGTTGAATGGAAGAATGAATAAACAAATCAAAGAGAAAGTTTTCCCCAATACTATGGCAAGGACCTCCTTTTTGATATTCTTGCTTCCAGTGTCTTTCCATCCAAGGCTCTCTCCACAACCAAGACAGAGGCATCTGACCACATCATACGCCTGTCTAAAACCTGTGCCCCAATGCCCTCAAGCTAAACTCCAAGCTCCAGGCTAATGGTTTGCTCATACTGCCCTATGATAACTTAAATGAGAAGCAGACTCTCAAACTCCTTGTTTCCATCAGAAAATCCAGCAGTGCCATAAATGTTTTTGACTCTGTGCATATGGGACAAAAGAAACATGCCAATAACCCTCTTCTGGCTTTCAAAGAAATCTCCCCATTATTTATACCTTCTAAAAAATACAGAGGTCTATTTAATATTATTACCAAGGCAACAAATTATTTTAAAAGATACTAAAACAGAATTGCAGGCTTGTTTAAAAAGTTAACCTTAAGGGTAGCTGAAGTCCAGGCATCTCACAAAACTCCTTTGTTAGAAGTAACATTTGTAGGGCCGGCCTGTGGCTCACTCGGTAGAGTGCGGTGCTGATAACACCAAGGCCACGGGTTCGGATCCTATATAGGGATGGCCAGTTTGCTCACTGGCTGAGCGTGGTGCTGACAACACCAAGCCAAGGGTTGAGATCCCCTTACCGGTCATCTTTTTAAAAAAAAAAAAAAAAAAGAAGTAACATTTGTAAGGACAACCTGTATTTTATCGAAACCACATAGATGTTGCGCAGTGAAGTGGGGAGAATGGTTTTTTGCATTTTGCAATACATAGTTTCTCAAAGGAGTCTATGATATATCCAGTCATTCAGCCAATATTTAGTGGACACACACTGTTCAATAACAGAACCGATCTTGACGTGTTCTATTTCATAAGACAAAAGCAAACTTTTTTTCTTTTTACCTCAGCAACTGGCCAATACAAGAATCGAACCCTGGACCTTGGTGTTATCAGCACCATGCTCTAACCAACTGCAAAATTCATAAATGTATAGCTCCATGAATTTTTATAACGTGTGAACTATTTTTTAAAAGACTGGGAAAAGCTTTTTTTTTTACTTTTTCCCATTCAGCAGATTCATTTGAAGCGATGGTCACAGGTATTTGAAATAGGTGACATCATCTGTCAGCAGAGGTGTGAGGGTTGGGGCGGGGCCTGACGTCATCATGCAGCAGCTTCTTTTCCCCGCCCACTTCTCGTTTAACACACAACTAGGTGAATCCGGAAGCAGACTGCCAAAACAACCAAACCGCGGGATGAGGGAAGTCGGGGCCTCAGTAATCGCCTGCACACTGGCTCAAAAGAAGCAAAATGCCCAGCTTTTGTGGGCAGGGCTCCTGGCAACAGAACAGTGTGCGCATGCGCAGACGCGACCGCCACCCAGGGCCAGGTGGGAGGGGCGGGGGAAGGGCAGGGTCGCGCGTCGCCCTCTGCGCCTGCGCCCCGGCGCAAGGTGGGGCCGTGGGCGCCCGCACTGTAGGGTGCGCGCAGGGGTTGGGGGCAACTGTCAGCCGTTACCAAGAGACGGGCGGCCGCGGGATGGCGGCGGTCTCCGGGTCCTCTGACTTGGCCGGCCCCGGAGCGCCCCCGTCCGGCGGAGGAGCCCAAGCGGCGGCGGTGGCTGAGGAGGAGGAGCGAGAGGTGGTACGGGTCCGAGTCAAGGTGAGGCTGGCGCCCGTCGGCCAACTCGCCAGGGCACCCCATGGGAGGAGAAGGCAGTGGCTGTCGTAGGATGGAGGGCGGGACCTGAGGCTTGGGGCGTTACCTGAGGGGCGAGGCTTGAGGACAGAGTGATGGTGGCGGGGGGTTGGGGGGAGGGCGTGAGGACCTAGGGACATCTCGGGGCGTGGGACTGAAAATTGAGGGGCGAGAGCCTATGTGATGGATGATGGAGCTTATGGTTAGAGGGGAGGAGCTGGAGGGTTGGAGGAGGGGCCGCAGTAGTTGAGGGGTGGGGCTCTGAGGAATGAGGGGTGCGCTATTGCTGTCCGAAAGGGGGGCTCTGAGGTCAGTCAACACATATGTGCTGAGAGTGCACTTTTGTGCGAGTCCCCACCCTTGATGAGCTGACATGCTGGAGGAGGTGAAGCAAAGCTAAATAAATGTGATGCCTATGACACTGGTGAATGCCATAAGCAAATAGTGAAAAAGGTTATGAAGTAGGGCTTCACTTTAGCCAAGGTTGTTCAGGGAGATCCCCAGAGGAGGTACTGAAGGAGCAGAAACCCAAATAAAAAGGAGTCAGACGTGTGCATCTCAGGGGAGAAGAGTGTTCTAGGCAGAGGGAACAACAAGGGCAAAGGCTGGGAGGTGGGGATGAGCTTGGCATGTTCCTGTGGATTCCCACATTGCTAGAGTAAAGAGAGTGAGGGGAGTCAGAAGCGTAAGAGGGGGGCAGATTTCAAAAGGCCTTTGGTGTATACTGAGGAAGAAAGCTGTTGCAGTAGTAGATGATGCTGAGTTGTGAGTGAGCCAGGTGAAGAAAGTGGGAAGGATGTTCCAGACAGGGGGATTGGCACAAGCAAAAGGCCTGGAGCCAGGATGTGTTCATGATAACTTCCAACAGTTCAGTACTACCAGAGTGTGAAATTCAAAAACACTGACTGGAGAGAGGCTGGCTGGGGCCCTATAGGTCCACCTGCTGGGGACCCTAGGGTTGCCATTAAAGAGGTTTAAGCAGGAGAGTGTTGGAGATAAATGTGCTAGATTGGTTGCAGCCTGGAGGACTGATTTAATAGGGGCCAGACTGGACATAGTGATTGTGGCAACCATAGTTGAGGGGATATAGAAGGATTGGGTGCCTGGACCCCTTGCTTCCACTCTTTCCCCCCATAATCTGTTCTTTGCAGAGCAGTCAGAAGGATCCTGTTAAATCCTAAGTCAGGCTACATCCCTCTTCTGTTCAGAAACCTTCCATGGTTCCCCGTCACTAAGAGCAAAAACCAAAGTCCTCACCATAGCCCAGAATGTCCCTCTAGATCTAGCCCCTGTCACCTCTCCAATCTTGCCTTCTGCAGCTCTGCACCTCACTCACTCTTCAGCTTGGTGATGTAGCCCCTGATGGTCTACCCCATGTCTTCTCTTCCCAGAAATGTGAGAGCTTCTTACCACCTGAGTTCCGCTCTTTTGCTGTAGACCCCCAGATTACTTCACTGGACGTGTTACAGCACATCCTCATCCGAGCCTTTGACTTGAACGGGTAAGTAGGGGGATGCTGGAGATTGACAGTGGGCCACCTACCCCAACAGTGGTTGTCTGGCTTTTGTTAGTTTGGTAGGGTTTACTGGGTTTTTGTTTATTTTACTATTGCAGATAATCCCACAGTGAACAGCCACATATGCATATCTTGGAGTATTTGGGAAAGTCTAGTCATAGGATAAATTCCTAGTAGTGGTATTGCTAGTTAAAGGGTGTGTGCTTTTTAAATTTTCAATGGGTGTTTCCAAAATGCTCTCTAGACAGGTTTTTACCAATTTACAATTGCACCAGCAGCATATAAAACACCTGTTTCCTGTACCCTCACAAACACTGGTTATTATAAAACATTGCAAAATTTGCCAGCCTGATATCTGAAAAGTGGCATCTCTTGGGGGCAGCTATGATGGTATTTTGTTGTGGTTGTTATTTTGGAGGAATACATGCACATGGTAACAAATTCAAACAGTACGAAAGTGGTGGGTATTTAGGATGTTCCTATGGTTACGATGATTATCACGCAACATACTTCTTTGCATAGTTGCACAAGTATATCTGAAGAATAAATTCTTAGTTGTTATTTGACTTTTTTGCATAAACATTTTTTGTTGTGAAAAATAACAAACATACAGATTGCTTTATTTTTCTATGTAGTAAGAAGGCTGCTTTCTTTCCACTTCTATCCCTCCACTACTCTGTTACCATCCCCAGAGGGGACCAACATTTTACCAGTTTCCAATGTGCCCTCCACATACAAGCAGGTGTGTATCTGTTTTGCGTTTGTGTAACAAAGTAGGGATAAACAACCTGATCTCAGGCTGCCCGTAATCCTTGGCACAGTACCTAGTACATAGTAGGAAGTTGTTTTCAACACCTTTTTTTGTTTGTTTGTTTTGTCTTGTTTTCAATACCTTCTATATCACCTCCTTGTTTTGGAAACTGTCCCTGAGGCCTCCAGGGCATTAGGGGCCCTGAGAGCTCCCTCATATCTTCTGTCCAGGAAGAAGAACTTTGGCATCAGCTACCTGGGCCGGGACCGGCTAGGACAGGAAATTTACCTCTCACTCCTATCTGACTGGGACCTCAGCGTGGCCTTTGCCACCGCCTGCAAACCTTACCTGCAATTGCGTGTAGACATTCGGCCCTCAGAAGACAGTGAGTACCCAGTGTCCCGGGGCACTGCTCTGGGACTCACCTTTTCCCCATAGGATGACTCCACCCCTTGCAATATACTCCCTCACAGGAGGTTGGACAGCAAGGCGTCCTAGGTCCAGATCCTGGCTCGGCCACTGGGCCACAATTTCTTCACCTGTAAAATAGAGATGATGGTATCTTAGGGCCATTGTGAGGATTAAATAGGGAAACTCTTATAAAATGCCTGGAACAGTACATGGCTGCATAATGAATGCTCAGAAAGTGTTAGTTCTAATAATGAACTATTATAGCCTATAACCTAGCAATATATATTTATATAATGCAATGGAACAGTACAGCTACAGTATTGTATATTTCAGTTATAATAATATCTAAAATATAACAATGCTTATAAAAATAATGGTAGTTGTATTTATTCATTCACTCATCTTGTACTCACATTTTTTTCTTTTTATTTTGTTGTGTACTCACATTCATTTATTTGCACTCTTGCTCGTACATTCATTTTTTCCTTTAATCACCTAGCCACTTCTTCTCTTCTCCTATTTGTTCCTCCACTCTTGCCTATGCTGATCCCATAGATAAATTAAGACATGGTCCCCAAAATTTGATTATGGACCATACGTTCGATAATAGTATTGTGCAAAACTGTTTGAAATAGTATTAACACTGTTGTGAAATAGTGTGAAATTTCCTGGGTGTGCGTCTTAGTCCATTTGTGCTGCTACAACAATACCACAGACTGGGTAATTTATAAAACACAGAAATTTATTTCTCACAGTTCTGGAGGCTGGGAAGTTCAAGATCAAGATGCCAGAGGTTGCCTCTCTGGTGAGGGGCTTTTGCTACATCCTCACATGATAGAAGGTCCAAAGAAAAGGGGACTAATGTTGTGGCCTCACAGGGCAGAAGAGCAGAAGAGAGTGAACCCACCCCCTCAAGCCCTTTTTTAAGGACCCTAATTCCATCCGTGAGGGTTTTGCCCTCATGACTTAATCACCTCCTAAAGGCTCCACCGCTTAATACTATCACATTGGTGATCAAGATTCAACACCTGAATTTTGGGGACACATTCAAACCATAGCAGTGTGGTAATGGTATCAAGACTATTGAAGGAAAATGTCCTTGTTCTTGGAGAAAACACAGTTAAGTATTAAGGGATAAAGTGTCATGATGTCTGCAAATAATTTGGCAAAAATAATGTGTTTATATATACAGAGAGCTAGATGAAGCAAATGTAGCAAAAGATGTTAGTGGGATCTAGATGAAGGATGTATGGGTGTTCAATGTATTCTCTTTTACTTTCTTATCTTTTTTTGTATTTTTTTTTAACTTTATTGTAGGTTTGAAATTTTTTAAAATAAAGTGCTGTGGAGTGGAAGACATGGTTTCCACCTCCGGGAGCTCACATGCCCATTGGGATGACTGATGCATTTTATTGATGTCATAATTGTTACCTTGTTACACTTCTCACTATGTAATGGAGACCAAAAAAAGATTACTCAAGGCACTATGAATGCAATGAGAAGCCCGAAGGGACTGCACCTCAGCAACTCCTCTGTTAGTAGGAGAAAATTGGGTACAGCCCCGATTCAAAATTAGCTTCTGTTTTTATTGTAAAGACAAGGAAGTTTCACAAGAAAAATCAGTTGATTCAATCATTTCAGAAGGACACAAAGACATGGGCAGTGTGACAAAAGTTATTTATGGCTAAGTATAGCTTAAACAATGGAAACTAGTAGCATCATTTAAATTAACAACGTGACATTCCAAAGCACAATTTGTGAAAAGCTAAATTGGTAACTGTGATCATTATCTAACCCAAAATATAACCTCTCCCCAAATGATTTAAGCAAAAGTTACATTCCTATGATAATGTCTCTAAAGTTTCCACCAAGAAACAGCTTGCCCTTAGCAAACATTTTTTTCACATTTTTCCCTACAGCAATTCTTTCAACATCTTTTAACAACAATCAGTGTGTTAAATAGTCAAAGTACATAACCCCATCCCTAAACAGTGATTAGAATTGATTAGATGGGCTTTTGCCACTCTATCTGTAGACTTTTGTCCCCTGGCTGAGACTTTTGTCTCGTGCATTCATTACCTAAAAACCCTATCTAAAAATCAACTGAGAATCAACATATACTTGATTAGAATTTATTAGATAGTCTTTTACCTGCTGGCTGTAGACTTTTGTCTCTTAATGGAGGGTTTTTACCCCATACATGCATTACCTAAAAACCCTATTCTAGAAATCAAATGAGAATCAAGATTTCTAGGGCCGGCCCGGTGGCGCATTGGAGAGTGCGCTGTCTGGGAGTGTGGCGGCGCTCCCGCCAAGGGTTCAGATCCCATGTGGAGACTGGTTCCCGCTCACTGGTTGAGCGCGGTGTGGGCGCAACACCGAGGGTTGCAATCCCGTTGCCAGTCCCCGGTACGGGTGCGACACCGAGGGTTGTGATCCCGTTACCGGTCAGTAAAAAAGATAAAAAGGAAAAAAAAAAAAAAAGATTTCTAATCTTCTACACATAATAACATAAATAGCTAGCATGTATTGAACACTTAGGTCCATTCTGTGCACATAATATTTTTTCACTGAATAGTCAAGTTAATACTACAGGGTAGGGATGATCATTTTCCCCATGTTATAGATGAGGAAACTGAGGCTCAGAGAGGTCACAGGACTTGTCCAAGTCACACAGACAGCAAGTAAAAGAGTGGGATTTGAACCTGGGCAGTGACTGTACTTGCTCTGGAGTCCTTGTTATTAACCATTTGACTCTACAACATTTGGGCTTAAGATTGGTAGCCTGGGGCTGTCCAGTTAGCTCAGTTGGTTACAGCATGGTATTATAAAACTAAGGTCAAGTGTTCAGATCCCCATATCAGCCAGCTGCCAGAAGAAAAAGAAAAAAGAAGGGCCGGCCCAGC